TGCTATGGAGATGCAGCTGGCCTTGACCTCACAGACATTCACCTACCTCTGCCCTCTGCCTCTCAAGTGCACATACCCAAACAGATGCACACACAGACACATACACATACACATAATTAAAAATAAAATAAGCTGGGCATGGTGGCTCGTGCCTTTGATCCCAGCACTTGAGTGATAGAGGCAATAATTAAATGGACACAGTAATTAAATTCAGAAAGAAATGAAGGGAAGGAGAAGGTGAGGGTAATAAATAATGGTCAGTGGTTCCTGGTGAAACTAAAGGAAACACATTTTTTAAGGACTTGAGACTGAATTAGAACTAGTGAGTTATAATTCAAAGGTAAAGTGTATGAAATAGAGGTTATAGATAGATTGTAATCATTCTGTAGTATTAAAATCTAGGACATGACTAGTGTGAGGAGCTGCCTGTAGGGCAGAGGATGTGCTGATTGGAGGAGAGCTGGAGATAAAGCTTAGTGGAGGAACACATGATTGGCATACACAAGGCCCAGGATTCAATTCCCAATATCTGCCTCTCTCAAAGCATATATGCATCAGGATATCTACTCACTTATAAGGATTTAGTTCTACAAACAAGGGAGAACATACATCTTCCGTTTTCCTGAGTCCGTGTTACTTCACTTGGTGTAACAGTTCTATCCGTTTACCTGCAAATTTCATCTTTACTACTGAGTAGAATTCCATTGTGTAAATGCACCACATTTTCATTATCCACTGTCATTTGAGGGGCACTCAGGTTGCTTCCATCTCTAGCTATTCTGAAAAGAGCAGCAACAAACACGGTTGTACAAATGTCTCTGCAATAGGATAAGTCCTTTGGGTATATGCCAAGGAGTGATATAACCAGGTCATAGGGTAGGTACATTTTTACTTTTTAAGAGTTCTCCACACTGCTTTCCATAGGGGTTGCACAAATTTGCAATCCCACCAGCAGTTCATGAGCGGTCCTCTTTCTCCACATCCTCGCCAGCATTTGGTATCATTTTTCTCTTGATCTTAGCCAGTCTGACTAGGATAAGGTGATACCTCAGGGTGGTTTTAATTTGCATTTCCCTAATTACTACTTTTTAAGATGTTTCTTAGCCATCTTTATTTCTTCCTTTGAGAACTCCCTGTTTAGATTTTTATCCCATCTTTTAATTGGGTTATTTGTTTTCTTGATTCTTTGGTTTTTTGAATTTTTATATATTCTGGATATAAATCTTTTCTCAGATGTATAGCTGGTAAAGATTTTCTCCCACTGTGTAGGCTTCCTCTTCATTTGATTCATTGTTTCCTTTGCTATAGAGAAACTTTTTAGTTTAATGAGGTCCCATTTGTTGATTATTGACCTTAATTTCTGAACAACTGTTGTCCGAATAGTTTCAGGGTTTCCAGTTTCACATTGAGGTCTTTGATCATTTGGAGTTGACTTTTGTGCAAGGTGAAAGATAAGGATCTAGTTTCATTCTTCTACAGGTGGAGATGCAGTATTGCCAGCACCATTTGCTAAAGATGCTGTTTTTCCTCCATTGTGTGTTCTTGGCTCCTTTGTCAAATGTCAGGTGGCTGAAATAGTGTGTTCTCATGTTTGGATCTTGAGCTTTGTTCCATTGATCTATGTGTCTATTTTTGTGCCATGCTGTAGTAAGTATAGTTTGAGATCTGGTATAGTAATCCCCCCAGCATTGATCTTTCTACTCAGGGTTGCTGTGGCTGTCTGGGGTCTTTGGTGTTTCCATATGAATTTAAGAATGTCTTTTTTCCGGGCTGGAGAGATGGCTCAACGCTTAAGAGCACTGACTGCTCTTGAAGAAGACCTGGGTTTGATTCCCAGCACCCACATCGCAGCTAACAACCATCTTTAACTCCAGCTCCAA